TTAAAGCACTATTAGACATTTATTTATGCGAATCCTCGCGCTGGCGAGCATACTGCCCCGCGCTGAGAATATAAAGAGCAGTGCTACATCCTTTTTTCACTTGTGCCTTTCAGGTGAACGACCAACAAGAACAAAAGCGACCCGAGAATCTTGGGCAAAAGCCTCGATCCTGTGTATCAATCGGTGAATCCCTGAAAATATAGGTCCACTGCGAATATCTTGGACATATAGTTGTTCCCTCACCTCGAGTCACTCATGGCTTTGTTACCAAGTTCAAACAAGCTCCAAGCTGGAGCCGCTAGCCTACAGCTTCCCAGTCCCGTAAACCTCTTAGGAACCGACCGAACTCGTTTAGACGTGGTGGTTTGTTTGAAGCCACCACAATTTTTTCATCATAGTAACAGTAACATTTAAATTTATAAATATGCACAAAGTCATACGCGGGAAATGTGTCATCATAGGTAATTGTCCCCATGGTCAAGTAGAATATTATTCAGGATCATCTGCATCTGGAAAGTCATCAATCGCTCAAACTTTTGTCAGCGAAGGCAAGGAATTCCCTAGCAATTACTGTATGGTAACTGCATAATAATAAACATCCACGTCGGTTCCTAGTCAACTTCAGCAGAGCTTGTAGTAAAGAATATGATTATTCCTGAAATAAATGACACAGTGGTAAGTCCATATGTCTTGAAGCTGGGCACATTCATCATTCTTGGCTAATTGTGCCCTCAGGAAATATATATTTATACACTACCCGGGAAGGATGTATACAGTAATTTAATCAACAAATATGTCGATCACATAAATATGTTAATGGTGGTTTTCGACGTCACGAAAAAAGAGAGCTTTTCCTCTGCTCAATCAGCTCTCGCCAGATTTCATCCTGATGCTCATTGTCATTCACGACCAAGTAAATTTCACTCATAATTGCCGTCATGATGTGTATATATGTAGTCGTTCTAGTCGGAAACAAGATGGACTTGGAAGCCAGGAGGGTAGTTTCGAGAGAAGAAGCTGAGAAGTTTGCGGATTCGATTGGTATTCCTTACTACGAAACCTCCGCGGTAAGTTATAATAAGGAAAAAAATTCCAGATGGTTACAGTGGAGAACCTCACTTTGTTGGTTTATCGAAGTCACCAGTAGTTCTTGAGAGATGAAATTTCTAGAAGTCTTCTGAAATAGTTTGGTGGTCTGATGATAAGCGGATAATCTAACTGTGAAATCCTAAATAAAAAGAATATAAAAGGCAATGTCACTGTCTGTTTGACCTGAAGGGATGCCTAACAGAAAGGATCCTGGCAGAAAAGTGGAGCGATGAGATCAGTCATGATTCTATTCTGCTTGATTGATGTAAGCTCAACCTCCCTGGCGGTGTAGTGTGACGCAATTAACCAACGTTAACTCTCGAGGGCCTATAACTTTCAAGGGGCAGCGGGGCTGAAGCAGGGATAAGAGTGCTGGGACCGAATAAAGGATAAATACTGGTGTCATTCGCCACCTGTGCACAAACCTCACTGTCAGTGTCAGTGACATCACGTCCCAGTCTGTAAAGCCAATAACTCGAGTGTGAGCGTGATTAACACGCAACTCATACGACAGTACGTGACAAACGCCAAGCCGCTTCAAAACTAAGTGCAGATGGTGCGATGGTCTTTATATCTGTCTCCAAGGTGATATCCATATTTCTTGTTTCCATTTTTTTCGGCATTGGTTCTTCACAGAACGCACGAGGAGTCACAAACATGCTTGAAGTGTAGCAGACCGATAGGGTACCTCACGCTCATCCTTATTTGAGACGGATAACAACAGAATTGAACAGACTTAATGAACGGGTAGTCCAGGCCGACACTAGAAATATCCAAAGTCCTTCTGAATCAACACTTAACAGCATGTAATACGGATGCAATGCGAGAGGTGGGAATCTGGAGATCAGAAGACGTAGTCGGATCAGTATGAGGGGACAGATACGGAACTGCGTTCGATCTTTCCGTCAAAAATCAAGGATGAAAAGAGCCGTGGGATTCCTGCTTTGAATCCAACTGTGACACCTCAAGCATTAAGGTATGTACTTCAACAAGCTGCCGATGTACTGTTTTGGCCCCGCCTTCACTGAATATGTAAAGCAGACCGTTAGCTCTTTCAAGAATGACCTTAACCTCTAACTACCTAGTGTTGAAAAGGTGTAAGGAGGATTACGGCATTTGGCTTGAAATCCTCAAACCATACCTCGGATGCATATTTTCTGTTGAAAATATCCTTTTAAGTCTTTAAGATGTTCTACATTTGCCTGTCCGCGTTGGAAGTGAAGTGGTTGCTTGAATTTTTGAGGCTGATTCTTCTCAGGTGTTTGGTGGTGGTCGTTGGTCCAAAACGCATCTAACTACTGGTAATCAGTAGAGTTGGAATGGATTTTTGGGTACTTAAGGTCAATAACCTTAAACAACAGGTTTCTGTAAAATATGGCCATCAGTTGGTGGTATTTAAACCGAAATTGCAAACGTTTCCAATCCATTTTGGGGTCTGGTACCCCACCTATCAAGCCAATGGTAAAGTTGGCGACATCGGGACAAGGTGGACCTCTGGGGTCGAAGGTCTCTTGTCGGAGCAAGCAAATCGGGAGGACGCAGTACAAGGAAGTAAATAAGGAGACAGAGTATCACAAAACCCCCAACGGAGTGACTAGCTGACACCAGTTTAAACTCAATGAAATATGGCCATCACACCTTGACCAATCAAGCATCCTCTTAGAGTTTGGTTATATGCCGGCAGCTACTATTCCAACCCCGTTTTTCCTGTCTTTTGTGATTCCGGCTTATTCGTGAGGAAAGCCATGGATAGTGATGTAAAAAATCTGTCCTGTAGAGAATCACCCTTATTTTTTCTCCCACTAATAAACATGCCCAACGAATGTTTACAGGGTGCAGTCCGATCAAGCTCATTTGCCCTGAATTCGGTGTGGATATTCTAAAATAATTTATCCTTTTTTACGATTTTTTATAAAAGCCAAAATGTGACATCAGTTTTCTATGTTCCTTCTTCTGGATTTCAGAAAGATGCTCTGGGTGTTGAAGCACCCTTTCTTCATCTTGTCAAAGAGTACCACAACCTGTACATTAGGAAAATTGAAACTTTTCAAACCCTTGTTTAATCGATACGTTTTTCCGGTGCGTGATTCCAGTTTTGCAATTAACTATGTAAATAAATACACGAAGCTATTTGTTATGCTCCATTTTCACTTTCTACAGCCGAACACATCAACTTGGTTGTATATTTATCTTACCTGGAACATTAGGTTGCTCACAGTCGTCCCATGATTGCGGGCAACGCCTATCTCAGGCATACATGCTGAGGAGGTTTGGCGTCTTACTGATAGGTTTTTTGTTTACTGCGCTGAACGGGTGAGCTCAAATGTAATCGATGCTATGAATCACTGATAGATTCACTTTTGAGGCAAGGACGAGACAGATTTTCTACTGATACAGGCGTGAGTAAAACATAAGTTCACTTTCAAGCAGTGCACTGAAGCTGTCTCATCCCTGGTGCTTCCACCGAGTTGTACGGTAGCTGTGTACACTAAGCGCGCCACAGCAGGAACATTAGGACTATATGTAATAACATTTATTCAACCATAATGGAAACGGTTGGTCTGTTCAGCGAGTCAGAGGTACCGTAAGAATAAAAAACATCAGTTGTTTCTTATTGGTGCAAGTGAGTCTGTTCGAGTGAGTGATACGGTGTGTGTATGTAGTGAATCCGCCCGAATCTTGATCACCGGTCCCGGCTCCGCGTCATTTTTGCAAAAACACACGCCGAAATCCAAGAAAATGATGTATTTAATTGTATTTCAAACGGTTGTTATGACGGATTCCGCTTACTCTGTTTGGAAATGTTGCAAGAGCCACGGCATCCACAAAATGTTTGCCTATTTCTAAATGAATTCAAGATTTTCACCTAAATAGCCGTGTTTTTTAAATAAGGAATACAGGAAGAAAGAAGCATGCAGTGATCAACTCAACAAAATCCAGGCAACAACGCACTGGCTATTACGCCCACTTCGTTCTTCACCATTTGAAGATAGTCTAATTCTCTGGTAAAAAGGCTTGGAACACGCAAAAATTATCTAAAAATTAGTGACTAGTGTAGCAAAACCCAATAAAAAGACGACATTGAACTCTTGAGACAATGCAAATACTGTCATCGACAACAATGATGAACAAGAACGGAGATGTTAAGCATGCTCTTCAGATACCAGTTTTTGTAGAGAAGCCTTTGGAGAGCTCAAGATGCTCTCTCAAACACCAAGACGCCTCCAGTTGAGCAAGTGTGGTTAACAACATTAACCGATCGACAGAATCCATCGTACACTCGAAGTCAAGGAACACCATTATTTTGGAGCGACTGTGCATATGGTGTGGCTCTAACACCTGACAGAGTGTGAGGATGTGGCCGATGCAGCCTCTGTCCAGTCGAGATCCCGCTTGATGCTCACGGGTCAGCGATTCGCGTGCCGTTGTATGATGATAGATAGTCACTGACGCCAGATGCCTCTTTACAACGTGAGTCAAAACTGTCACCCCTGTAGTCACTACATCCACCGCATACTTTCTCGAAAATGAGCATTAGTATAGACTCACCTTGGTCGTCTCTCTCCGACGCAGATGGGTTAGACAGACAGCGACCTGGAAACCTACTGGCGCCCTTGAGTAGGGCAAGTAAAAGTTTCGTCATGTCTGGGAGAAAGATGACTCTTGAGTAGAGATATACATTGGACCCCTTCCGAGGTCAATGGAGGCCCCATATTCACTGTCCACCTCTCTGTTGAAGGCCAGTGTTTCGAAATGAGAATAGCAGGTGGCCAAAGGCTAATCAAAGTTTCCGTTTGCTGGATTTCAGAGAGACCCGTTCTAATCCCTGATAGTGCCGCTTCCGGGGACCAATCGAAAGAATCAAGTGGAACCTCCTGCAGACACTCAAAATTTTTTGAATATTTCATTTCCTTGGCAATTCGGGCCCACCTGCCTTCTAGTTCTGTATGGACACTCAGCTTCACCTAACGTCGAATAAGACACCGAGTTGAATTGTGGTTGAGGCTAGGGGGAATATATCGCCTTGGTGGCCAGAAAAGCCACGGTTATACCAGAAGCCCAATGTCTAGAGGAAGCAGCGTATGTTGTACCGCAAATAAATGTCCAGACTTGTTGTGTTGTGCGTGGTCGAACTATGGGGTTACGCCTGCACTGTGCCTGCCAGACTACGCGATAGGGAGAAGACAGAGGACTGGGGACACGGCTGTATTGCCAGGACAAAACGTACAGAGCGTCTGCGTAAATATATAGGATGACTACTTGGCCAAATATGGTCGTTCACTTGTTCGCTCCGTACAGCCAATGGTGGTGTTTTGGTCGTGAACATTCTCAGGCCCGCTACGCTGGTCGTGTGTTGCTAAGTCGTTTGGTGAGAGCCGCCAACTCACCTACTTTCCGGACGTGTCGAACCGATGATAACCTTGGGGATGCGTCACTCTCTGCACATGTACTTTTTCTTCTGTCTGGGCGCGCCCTGACAAGACTTTAAGTAGAACTTTGATTATCTATTTCCAGTGGCCGTTAATTTCCAACACTGGGCAATCCGACAGATGTTCGAAGAGCCGGTTATGATGAATTCGTTTCATTTCCAAGTCCATCTGCTTCTCAACATTTGGGCGAGATGTGCGCGTTTTGAGTAGGTTTGCAAAGCACGACGAAAAGCAACAGAAGACAAGGGCAGAGTTCACGCAGATATTCCAGAATGAATACCAAGCGGTAACCGACCCTCCTCGCTGGTAACTGATTACAGTGTTGCCTATCCGGATTCGGGGATGACTTATTGGTCGGTGCCAAGTCGTCTACTGATTCCTCCTGTTTCGGAGTTTGGTACTTCAAAAGGCATCGATAAACATGCAGCAAACGATCTAGCTCAGCCTCTATCTACCTGAGCGTTCATTTCTCCAACATCCGCAATAATGTCTTGGTTTTCAGCATTTTTGAAAGGTGCACCTGAGGTTCATAGAAACTGTCTTTGGTAGATCCATAGCTGAATTACGTCGGGGCGTAGGCGGATGCGAAAAACAGGGAGCGATGGACCTCACTTGAGATTGTTTCACAGACATTGCCAAACGAACTGCGCAGGGGCAATTATCAAAGGGTATTCAACCAATTAGATACGTTCCCTCTTGATAGCAAAATACCCATCCCGCATATCCAGATGCAGCGGCCTCCGCGTTTCCAGAGGTGCGCAGCCGAAACTTGAAATAGAGAGGGTGCAGTCAGTTTAGTTTTAGCACTTGCACCCGGGATCCTTGTTCCTGACAGACAGCGTGTATCAATGCAGAAGAAATCCAGGGTGCGAGCAAGAGCCGCTTGTTCTCTCGCGTGTCTCAGTGTGTAAATAATGAAGGCAACTAAGGAGACAGACAGGCTTTGAAAACAGCCACTGAGGTGCTCAGGATTGTTAATGAAGTCGGATTCGCAGAATTTGCAGCTGAACAAAGTGTGTTGCGAGCGAAGCGGTCAATCCTAGACCTGTGGATAGAGTAATAAAATCGGAGAGGTGTAGGGTAGACGAGAGACTACGTGAACGTGTTAGAGTAGAGGTGTCGGCAGCAACCTGTTTTTTCTTATCCGGTCTGCTTGCTGTACGCAAGCATAATAATAATAATAATTATTATTATTATTATGGTGACCCGGCTGGTGAAACCACGTGGTGGCCGATAAGGTCTGGTAATGTTTTTGGTTGTACCTTTTAGCGTTGCCCCAGATCACATTCCTTAAAATTAAACTCCGAAAGCCAAATTATATTGCCTGGATGAATTTGAACACTTTATTTGAATTTCCACTGCATTCTTAGTTACAAAGAACTCCGTCTGAATTTGAGTAGATGCGCTTATACTATGCAAGTGGTCTTTATCAAATAGCCTTTGGGCAATATGTTTTGCGGCTACTCGAGATTACTGCAGACAGTGGAATGTATCAGAAAGTCGCACACCGTTTCGGATACGACTCTGGTCTCACTTGCTGGGAATTTGTATCATGTCCTCGACAAGCCAGCTTTGAAAATCAATAGGCCAATTTATTACCATTTTTGACATCACCTCTGCTCGAATGTAAGCTTGTGACCTATAAATCACACTGTGAAGTTCTAGGAAGAGGTCATACGTTTCAATGGGTTGTGATGTTTCTCTTGATGTATTAGAGTAGTATCTAAACGACGTTTTGATGGATTTGAATCCCAGTTATGTCTGTTTATGAAAGCCAGTTTCAAGGGAGGTCATCCCATTAAAAGTCACCTTTGGTTGATTTGTCGCCTCGAAGTCGATTTTAGATGCCCTCGAAAGAGGTGTTTTTTAACTTGTCTGAAAAGGTTGAGGTGTATTTAGCAAGTATTGTCAATCCATCGTGGCAATAATAAATGCATGCCAATATTCGGCAATAGAAGCGGATTCAGAAAGTGCGCGTCACTTTCGATTTTTTTCCAAAAAAGAAATTAACCTGCAACGAGAAAAGCCATTTTTGAGCGTGAGTGTACACTTAAAAATTTCAATCGAGTGGAGCCCACTTATGTTGAAAAGTCATCTGTTTCAACCTTGTTTGGAAACATCAGGATCGCGCGTCTCACGGAACTCCATGAAGTTCCGAATCTTTGCCATTCCTTCTAATATATGAAACCCAGGATGTTCAGCCATGGAGAGAGAAGCAACACAGTGGTTAACTCACACGTAGGATACAGCGTTACTCATTCTTCAATCTCGAAATGTACATCATTTGATCACGTGTCGACTGGCTCGTCTAGTAAAGAGCTCATTCCGATATTGATTGAGTTGTTTTTGAGAGTAAAAAACATTCATTTCATAGAAGACGATACTGCCATGAAATTTTTACTTCCAAGTGATAGCGTATGCCCTCGTTTTACGGTAAAACCTTTAGTCACGCAGTAACTTGTAGCCGAACCCTCCTTGATGGTGTTCGACGGAGTAGCTGAACTCAGGAGAGTGGAGTTCCCCAGTCAAACGACCAAGTATTTAGTATTTGCTTTCAATGAATATGAATGAATGAACTCTACTGAAAGCGGGTCTAATCCCAGGCCAAAAAGGCACCAATGGACCGTGATCTAAGACTAATTATGTTGCAGGTTCTTAACCAA